TTTACATGTCGCTGCGAAAGAATATACCAATCAACGACAATGAATCCAGTTGAATTCCTTGCATCAACTGAAGAAATTACTGCGATCCCATGATTTTCCTCATCGAATTAATATTAAGGAAACTTCTCGCAATAATTGCTTGCAACCGGTTTAGTTCCTCGTGTAAGTGAGGAACATTTTCACTAAAAATTAGAGCGAGAAAAGTCAGTAAAATCGAATAAGTATTTGAGCATTTCTAAGGGCGTTTGATAGTCACGAACGACCCAACATGGGAAAGCAAACAAAAAGTAACTTTTTTAATATAACTTTTCAAACCTTAAAAATAAAAGTTCATTACTGAAAATTCTTTTTTAATTTTTTTTTTTTATTTTTTGTGCGTGATTGCGAGAAAAAAAAAAATGAAAAAGTATTTTTCGAGTTCTTTACGTATTTCTGATCTGCACTAAAATGTGATTGATTTTCAAAGCCCGAATATCACGAATCATCATAGTATTTATTGACCGATTCATTTTCTTATAATAATATAAAATATTCGATCACGTGTTAAACCTTCACCGAAACAGCAAAGAAGTTCAATTATTTATAAAACTCATTAATGATCGATCATCGATTCCTGACATTTGCGCAATTTAGTCTCTGACAGAAAGATTATTCGAAATTTGCAAGTTGGTATATTTTAAGATCTAAAGATTATGAATTTTTTTTTTTTTTCTGATATTAACGTTAATGTCTAATAGGTTCTCGGTAATTTTAATAATTTTACAGATAAATGCTGCGGAAACTGGAAAAATAATGCAAATTCTTAAACTTTAGTTAATGACGAGATTTATAATGTTCCTTCTGAACAGATCTCAAGATAATTAATAATTTTTTGGTGTTCGGGAATATCATCATAAATAAATAAAAAATTTTTATTTTTAAGAATGTCCATATACAAAAAAAAATAAATATACAGTATATATATTACATAATAAGTACTTCATTTTCTAAACTATTATCTTCACTTTTAAAACTCTTTGTATCCTCACCAACATTTAACACACTCCCATCGCTTTCATTATAAGTATCAATAGCGACAAAATTTTTAACACTAAACAATTGTCCATTGCTCAATTCTTCTTTAGAGCTTTTCACTTCAGTCCAATTAATACTCTCATTTTCCTCAACATAAAGCTCTTCTCTGGAATTGATTACCTGGAACACCTCATAATCATTCATGATAAAGGTACTACCACTATTAGGGGGTAAAATCTTTTTTTCGTAATATTTCTGGGTACAACTTACCGCTAAACCACCAGAGATCATGACCGAATCCAACATTATTCAATTTACATGACATATCACGAATCGAATATCGAGAATTTTGCACCCTACTTAAAATATATTCATCTTGTTCACAAGTATCTGAATTTGCGAACGAAAAGATAAACGAATCGCTCGTCTGCAAATATGTGTCCGATGAGCTCCAGCTTAAAGGATTATATCCTCCGATCACGGAAACACTGGCATTAGAACGAATTGTAGAAAAATGACTTGTGGAGTTACTAAGGACACTACTATTACAAATCTCATTGAGATCATCCTCATGAATGCTATCGCAACTATCAACATCATCACTACCGCAAATGTTATTAACTTCGATGACAAGCACTTTAACTAACATTAAGGTTGGACCTTTGTTATCGCATAATTCATGAAAAGTCTTTACGTCCATACCATCTCTACTCCCTCTCAACAGCAATTGAAATTCAACTTTATCTCTATTCTTATACCGTTCTCTCCCATGTTTATCCACGCGTTCAACATAGCGGCATGTTTGGACGTAACGTATAAAGATTCAATATTATGTTTGGGTAAACGCAGCGATAAATTGTAACTAATACCCAAAGGTGGTAATTCAGTATTTGGCATCATATGAAATTGAGTTAATTGAGCCTTCAATTTCTTTGGTAAAATCTTCTTAAAAGGCCAAACAAATTCGTATAATTTATCACCTGGTATTTGAAAAAATCTTATATAAGGAAGAAAGTCTTTTAGTCGATTCTCCAACTCCATGAAATCCTTTTTCGTCCATGAATCAGCATCACCTGATGTATTAAGTAAAGGGTGTTGATTAATCGCCCATTGTAACAAATATTTCCATATATCAACTTCGCTCAAATCCAAATCATCACGCTTAATTATCGTTAACAATGAACATCTTCCCAATCGTATAAAGGACGGTGTGCCAAATAACAGGGAAGGATTTCACAAATTAATTGGCTACAGTGGTTGGCTAATAATGAGAAAGTTGTCGTGTGTGGTGGTAACGTGAAATATGTGTACGAAATTATCGTGTAACCATGATTGTTCGTTATCGATTATGTGTGATTGAATATATTTCACCAAATCAGTTAAAGACAGCTCGTCAGCCGATAACAACAACGGTATAAATAGGTCTTGCATGTCCGGTTCGTTCAAGTCGCATATCCCAGTATAAATGTACCTTTATTTTTTTTTGTTTTGATAGAAAAAAAAAAATTTTTTAAAAAACACCATATCACGAAAAAATAAGAAAAGGAAATAAAGAAAAAAAAAAATTCTTATTATTCGCATTGCACGACGACAACTTACTCTAGTAGTAATCGAAATACGTCTGGATGTATATTTGATTTTTCGAATGTGAACCATTCACCATCTTTTTTTATTTGATCGTTAGAAAATAGATTTTGAAAATATGTAGATCTTGCACGAAGAATTACCGAATGTGCCTTAAACGTTTCTCTTTCGATAGATTCGTCTACTCCTCCGACCGTAATTTGCAGATTATAATCATTCGCTTCAAAATACAATTTACCGATATCTCTTAATAACCCTGACGACAATTCCATCGTAACCTCGTGGAAGAAAGAGATTCAAAATTTTATGATTCGAGGAGAAAAAGTGACAAGATACTTTTGAGGCTTACTTTTTTTATATGAGGTGATCATGGTTTGATTGGCTGGTTTAGATATGTTTAAATTCTTTTCTTTTTTAGTCGTTATTGTAGGG